ATACTCACTCACTCATCGTGATACTGTTAACTGAAAAGCGAAGTTATAAAGACAAACGTTCTCAATTATGCATTGTCGCCATTTACACATGCCCAAATGTTTCGTGACGCTAAAAACTGATGTATAAACGTACTGACTATGGTTTAGGAATAACTATTGATTGTGGTATTAGAAGTGGAAAATGTAAGGAAAAGGGTAGTGATATGGTCATGATTACTCAGGCAATATAAGGATTTTTGTAGTGATGTCATTGTGATTACTCGGATGATATAAGGAATGGGGTAGTGATGTCATCATGAGTACTCGGACAATATAAGGAATTGTGTAGAAATGTCATGATTACTAGGATAATATAAGGAATTTTGTAGGATAATATAAGGAATTGTGTAGAAATGTCACGATTACTGAGATGATATAAGGAATTGTGTAGTGATGTCATCATGAGCACTCGGACAATATAAGGAATTGTGTAGAAATGCCATGAATTCTCGGATAATATAAGGAATTGTGTAGAAATGTCATGATTACTGAGATGATATAAGGAATTTTGTAATGATGCCGTCATGAGTACTCGGACAATATACAGAATTTTGTAGTCATGTCATTGTGATTACTCGGGCAATGTTAAGTATTTTGCAATCATGTCATTGTGCTTACTCGGACAATATACAGAATTTTGTAGTGATGTCATCGTGATTATTCAGACAATATAAGGATTTTTGTAGTGATATGTTCATGATGACTCGGACGATATAAGGAATAGTGTAATGATGTCATCATGATTACTCAGACAATGTAAGAAATAGCTTAGTTATTACTCGGATAGCTCAGAGAGAAAGCGTAACATTGAGTGAGAGGACAGACACATAAGTGTTCACAGATACTGAATGTGTGATATTTTGGGAAACTGATTTCAGAGAATGTGTCAGGGAAAGCGTTGTAGAAGAGAGAGTATCGTCATTTCCAAGCAAGCAACACTTTAAATTAATATTGTTAAATTCCTCTATGCGAGGGGGTGGAGAAAACATCATTTAGATGTCATTAGCCAGCTCCCCCATTTAGATGTCATTAGCCACCATTTGCCAAACATAGCACCACAACATCTATAAAATGGTTTGGCCAGCATGACACCAGAGCTTTCCCGAATGGAATACGTGTGGGACATTATAGGAACACGTTTGAACTTGGCGAGGCGCTGCATGAAGAATGGAAAGACTCCCTCAAATCACCACTCGTTTAGTGAATGAGTCTTTGACGAATCGTGGCAATATAACGCATTACCGATCTGAAAATGGTTAAAGCTGAAAATTCCCATTTTACTGCCATTCCGGTTGTAATCTGAGGCTGTACGTATATCCACGTGTGTGTGCGCTTGGATACGCGTTCGTACGCGTATCTGTGCGTATTTGACAGGTAATATATAGGATATTTGTTTGGTGTTTAACGCCGCACTCAACCATTTTCCAGCTACATGACGGCGGTCTGGACCAGACAATCCAGTGATCAACAGCATGAGCATCGATCTATGCAATAGGGACAGGATGACATGTGTCAACCAAGTCAGCGAGCCTGACACCCAATCCCGTTAGTCGCCTCTTACGACAAGCATGGGTTGCTGAAGACCAGTTCTAGCCCGGATCTTCACGGGTCATTCGGTAGTGATTCACGAACACATGGTCGTGATGTAGTCGGGATCGTTGGATGGGTTTAGGATGGGTCGAAAATGTATGGGTGAAATAAGATTTTGATTTTGCACTTTAAGAGTCTAAAACGTAATTGTTGTTTCCGTGTAGTTTCAACATTGTTAACTTATGCTGACATACTGACTGACTGAGTTTAGTTTACGCCGCTTTTAGCAATATTCCAGCAATATCACGGCGGGGGACACCAGAAATGGGCTTCACACATTGTGCCCATGTGGGGAATCGAACCCGGGTCTTCGGCGTGACGAGCCAACGCTTTAACCACTAGGCTACCCCACCGCCCCGCTGACATACAGTTTAACGTAATATCTTCGACTTAGGCTCCATCTTCGTCGAAAGTTCAGATTTCAGTTCTTACTGAGGTTATAATCAATAATACAGCCAATTTCTTTTATGAGTATTTCACTTTGAAAACAATTAGTTCAAGACATTGGGATCTCGTCTTTTAAAGATATCTTCTCCAAACGATATAATTATCATTTAGAAGTGGAGGCATGTAATTTGATGAAATGTAGTGAAATTCGATTAGAGACAGATATCCATACAAATACATGATACAGATGGTCGTATCTGAACGTTCTGAAAAAACAGTTTGTGTCGGCGTATATATGCCCCGTGCCCACTAAAAGGTATTTTGAAGATGATTTTTGATTGAATATGTAGCCATTGTGAAGGCAATAGTAACAGTAACAGTAATAGTAGTCTTACTGTTATAAATAATATTGGTATTCTTATTAGTTATTATTAGCAGTATTCAGTATTCAAATAATGTGGGTTTTTTTTATGTGTCCGTGAAATTTAATGTGCTATGTGGCTGTGTTATTTTATGTGTTATGTGTCCGTGTTATTTAATGTGTTGTGTGGTCGTGTTATTTAAGACGTTATGTGGTCATGTTATTGAATGTGTTTTGTGCCCTTGTAATTTAAGACGTTATGTGGTCATGTTATTGAATGTGTTTTGTGCCCGTGTAATTTAATGTGTTTTTCGTATCTGTTATTATTATATTTAACATGTTAAAACAGAATGCAGCAGAGAGAGATTTCGAGGTCCAGATTGGCTAGGCTCATCATTATCATCATCTCTGGTACCGTTGCCCCCTCTACACGAAGCCCAGACAACCAGTGGGACTTCTCCCTCGGGACGAACCCACCAACAACTTTTCGGAGAATATGGAGACAACCTAACACTGCAGCTTTCTGCATTACAAGTGTCGAAGAGCTCTGCTGAACTGAGGCCGTATTCCAAAGAATTCTATGGTTGTCATTTCCCATGCCCATATTCCAAAGAAGTTCGTCGCTTTCACTTTCCAAGCCCAAACATCATGCCAATGTGTTTCTGGAAAAAGACTCGACAATTAGAATCTGTTTTTAGTGTGGAGTCGCCTTTGGCAATAAGTTCAAGGTCCTTCATGTGAAAGAAGTGGGTAAGAGGTGTCGGGATCTGTTCTGAGGAGGTCCCGGTTGATAACTTTCCTCTTTGTTAAACGAAACCTTAAAGGGAATTAATGACAAACAAAATAACAAATGACTTTACTGACGGACTGACTGAGTTTGGTTTTACGCCTCTGTTAGCAATATTCCAGCAACATCACGGCGGGGAACACCAGAAATGGGCTTCACACATTGTACCCATGTTGGGATTCCTACCCGGGTCTTCGGCGTGACGAGCCAATGCTTTAACCACTAGGCTACCCCACCGCCCCACAAATGACTTTAAGAACCGCCATGAACTATTTCTCTTTAAATAGAAAGGTGACTTGACCAGCCAGTCATCAAAGATGTTGTAGTAGTAGATGTAGAGTAGTGTGATCACCACCACCATAATCATCATCATCATCAGCAGCAGCAGCAGCAGCAGCAGCAGCAGCAGAAGTAGTAGGTATAGTGGGAGACGTAGTAGCAGCAGTACCAGTTTAATACAAACGTGAAGTAGATATGCTGGCAGTTGAGAGAATATTTATTGTTGTTTGAACAGGAGTAGTAGTAGTAGTAGTAGTAGTAGTAGTAGTAGTAGTAGTAGTAGTAGTAGTAGTAGTAGTAGTAGTAGTAGTAGTAGTAGTAGTAGTAGTAGTAGTAGTAGTACAAAAATGAACACGTGGTACAAGTAGTATTAGTGAATGTAGTCGTAGTAAACGTATTAAGTAAACGTAGTTGTAGAAGTAGTACTGGTGATTCTGACAGATGTAGCCGTAGTTGCTGCAAGATATGAGTGGCTAGCCTTATAATACTAGATGCAGTATTGGTAGTGTATTGCTGCAGCTGCTATCAGTGTTAGACTTCTCCATATAATCCCACAGTGTTATAAAACCCTTGTCTAGGCCTACTTCTTCATCTCCTCCAGTCGACGTGTGGGATCAATACCTACCACTGAAACACATCACAGCAACATAAAACAGCTCTTTTGTCCACAGTGTCCAGCCCATGGCCTCCTGCTGGACCGACCGGTGGGAAAGTGTAGTCCACTTACCGTGACAAACAGTTCACATTGTTAATAGCAAAGATAATTCCTTTGCTTCAACTTCATATGCTCGAGTGCAGTTCTCTTTCGTGGATAAAGCAGACGAATGCCATAGAAGCAATATATAATATATACTTCGTAAAAGCTATAAGAAATCAGGGGTGGCCATGTACGGAGGGGTGACCGTGTAGGGAGTGGTGACCATGTAGGGAGAGGTGTCCGTGTAGGGTGGGGTGACCATGTAGTGAGGGGTGTCCATGTAGGGAGGGGTGACCATGTAGGGAGAGGTGTCCGTGTCGGGTGGGGTGACCATGTAGGGAGGGGTGACCGTGTAGTGAGAGGTGACCATGTGTAGGAGGGGGTGTCCATGTCATGCAGGGAGGGGTGACCATGTAGGGAGGGGTGACCATGTAGGGAGAGGTGTCCGTGTCGGGTGGGGTGACCATGTAGGGAGGGGTGACCATGTAGGGAGGGGTGACCATGTAGGGAGAGGTGACCATGTACGGGAGGGGTGACCATGTAGGGAGAGGTGTCCATGTAGGGAGAGGTGACCATGTAGGGAGGGTGACCATGTAGGAGGGGTGTCCATGTAGGGGAGGGGTGTCCGTGTCGGGTGGGGTGACCATGTAGGGAGGGGTGACCATGTCGGGGAGGGTGACCATGTAGGGAGAGGTGAGGGGGGTGACACCATGTAGGGAGGGTGACCGGGTAGGGGGTGACCATGTATGGAGAGGGTGACCATGTAGGTGGGTGACCATGTACCATGTAGGGGAGGGGTGTCTGTGTGTCGGGAGGGGTGACCATGTAGGGGAGGTGACCATGTAGGGGGGGTGTCTGTGTCAGGTGTAAGGAGGGGTGACCATGTAGGGAGGGGTGTCCATGTAGGGAGAGGTGACCATGTAGGAGAGGGGTGACCATGTAGGAGGGGGAGGTGACCATGTAGGAGGGGACCATGTAGGGGTGACCATGTAGGGAGAGGGGTGACCATGTAGGGAGGGGTGACCATGTAAGGAGGTGACCATGTAGGGAGAGGTGTCTGTGTCGGGTGGGGTGACCATGTAGGGAGGGGTGACCATGTAGGGAGAGGTGTCCGTGTAGGGGTGACCATGTAGGGTGGGGTGACCATGTAAGGAGGGGTGACCATGTAGGGAGAGGTGTCCGTGTAGGGAGGGGTGACCATGTAAGGAGGGGTGACCATGTATGTAGGGAGGGGTGACCATGTGGGGAGAGGTGTCGCGGTGGGGTGTAGAGGTGTTACCATGGGGTGACCTGTGTGGGGGGTGACCATGTAGGGAGGGGTGACCATGTAAGGAGGGGTGACCATGTAGGGAGACGTGTCTGTGTCAGGTGGGGTGACCATGTAGGGAGGGGTGACCATGTAAGGAGAGGGTGTCCATGTAGGGAGACGTGTCTGTGGTGATTTGGGGTGACCATGTAGGGAGGGGGTGACCATGTGGGGAGGGAGAGGTGTCCATGTAGGAGAGGGGTGACCATGTAGGGAGGGGTGACCATGTAGGGAGGGGTGACCATGTAGGAAGGGGTGACCATGTAGGAAGGGGTGACCATGTAGGAAGGGGTGACCATGTAGGAAGGGGTGACCATGTAGGGAGGTGACCATGTAGGGAGGGGTGACCATGGGAGGGTGTCCATGTGAGAGGGGTCCATGTAGGGGGGTGACCATGTAGGGTGGGGTGACCATGTAAGGAGGGTGACCATGTATGGGAGAGGAGGTGGGGTGACCATGTGGGAGGGGTGACCATGTAAGGAGAGGTGACCATGTAGGGAGAGGTGTCTGTGTAGGGAGGGTGACCATGGAGGAGGGTGACCATGTAGGGAGGGGTGACCATGTAGGAAGGGGTGACCATGTAGGAAGGGGTGACCATGTAGGGAGGGGTGACCATGTAGGGAGAGGTGTCCATGTAGGGAGGGGTGACCATGTAAGGAGGGGTGACCATGTAAGGGGATTGTGGGGGTGACCATGTAGAGGAGGTGTGTCCATGTGTCGGGTGGGGTGACCATGTAGGTGGGAGGGTGACCATGTAGGGAGGGTGTCCGTGTCAGGGGGGTAGGGGTGACCATGTAGGGAGGGTGACCATGTAGGGAGGGTGACCACCATGGGGAGAGGTGTCTGTGTCGGGTGGGGTGACCATGTAGGGAGGGGTGACCATGTAAGGAGGGGTGACCATGTAGGGAGAGGTGTCTGTGTCGGGTGGGGTGACCATGTAGGGAGGTGACCATGACGACCAGCGGCATGTGGACCATGGACGACCATGGCCAACGACCATGGACGACCAAGGACCATGTGGCACGGAATGGACGACCAGGACCAAGACGACCATGGAGGTGGCCACCATGGACGACCACAAGGTGGCACAAGGACCCAGTGGATGACCAGGACCATGGCCGTGGACCATGGGACCATGTGGCCCAGGAGGTGACCATGGTGACCCATGCAACCCAGTGGCCCGGAGGTGACCATGTCCAGGCACGGTGGCCACCCATGCACAGGAAGGTGGACCACATGGAACCAAACCCCATGTGGCAGGTGACCACAAAGGACCATATATGGAGGCTGACCGTGTGGCGAAGCACGGAGGAGTGGACCGTGAAGAAGACCAGGAAAGGAACTCCCATGATCATAACACACGGACCCGGATGGCTTACAACTGAAGAGCACAAGGATGGACCGACCGATGGACACACAAGGAAAGAGACGGATGCACAGGACGAACATAGGACGAACGGAAATGGACTGACAAGGCAGGATCGAGACCGGTGGACGAACGGAATCCCAAACCTGAAACAAATATCCGGACATGACGCACACGCATAACCAAAATAGATCAACACACCAAGGCCCCATGGAAATGAGCCTGGATAACCATCAGCCCCATCACACAACCCATATTGCCCAAAGACCCAGACGGAGAGTAGTCTGGTGGATGGAACAGCCACACCTGATTCCCTAGATAATGAGCATAGTTCTGACACTGATGTGAGATACAGGCCCGAAACGGAAATGGAAACAGGGACAGAGACAGGAACCACACACAGTGGTATAGAGACAAAGAAAGGACAGGAATGGACCAGACCCAGTGAGTCCCACACACACAGAAAGAATATGGACATGAGAATGGACAGTGAACGAACGAAGAATGGACAACCACCACAAAGCCAGGGATGAATTAAATCGTGGATAAAGATGGATGGCTTGCCCTGTTTGGGGAAACCTATTATAAAACAGTGGACAGGAATCATATGGAAGTGAAAGTGGAGCGGAGCGGACAGCACAGAAAGAGTATTGACACGAATGGAAGACTAGAAATGGCTTACATGTAGTATATGGAATGGAATGGCCTGGAACGAATAGGAAATGGAATGGAATGGACTTAAGGACTTTACACACTGGAAGATAACAGCTACTGGAGAAGGAATGGTAGGATTTGGACGACAAAATGGAGGAAGGAATAATGGAAGGAAGGGAATGGAGGCTAATGGTGGACGGAATAACAGAAACCAGCAATGGAGGGAAATGTAGTCACAGTTCTGTTGCGGAGATGACATGTCCAGAGCTGTACGTCATCTTACAACGGATTGTTCATGCTTGAGTTAAACTTAAACTCTTTGACTTGCCTAAATGTTTTACTCTGGAACTTATTGTTTTACAAATGGAAGTTTAGCTTCGGGGCTATATTGGATGGGGTGGACAAGGTAAATGGAATGGACATTCGGCTTCATAATTCTACGGAAGGTAGTGAAAATTCAGAATGTAACTATTAATAATGTACTCACGCAATTTCACTACCATTGGTTCCTAGATTGAGTTAGGAGTTGTAACTGCTAAGCATGCTTTGGGCTTCCTCCTCAAAAGCTTATATTCCCAACCCACACATGTATTCTGGCTATTGATGCTATAAGAAAAATGCTCATTAAATCGGGTTAGAATCAAAATAGAAAAATCGCTCATTTACTCTGGCCGCAAAATCGGTGATACCGGTAAAACATTTTATTTGAAGGACTTTGAGATAATCGATAATAAAGATAGATCAACGTTTAGATACATGATGTCATTAAGCCTTGGATTCTAATAAAAAATATTTTCAGATAACCCTAAGAACAAGATGCCAAGATGCCAAAGATGCCACTAATATACACCTGCAGACCTTTAATGATTCGGATGTTTAAAGGACACAAAAAGTACCCACTTGTCTTAGAACGAATAATTCATTTACGATGGAAGTGCGGGCCACATTTTACCTTAGGGCGAGCTCAGCTTTCAGTGACGATTAACTGTCGCAGAGAATTAAAACACAATAGCTGTCAAACCAAGCAGTGAAAAGACTGGTATTAATTCTGAAGCGTGATGAAATATTCATATCGATAAAATTGTTTCAGGTCTTAAAGCCAAGACAAGAAATCTCTGGTACCATCGCCGCCATTAACACACATCTTTACTGGAAGTACTTTCGTCATGTTCTGAGGTATTGGTGCATCACTTCTAGAAAGAAAACCTTAAAACAAACCAACACTTCGATGAAGCAAATTAATGAGGATGGGTTTTAGACTCTGCCTTTGAGATATTTAAGCAGAGAATGATATGAATTTGATTAGAGTGAGTGAGTGAGTTAGGTTTTACGCCGCAGATGGCAATATTCCCGCAATATCAATGGAATTTTGGAATTTGTTTAGAGTTTTAAATTGTCTGAGAATAATATTATGGTGTGGATAAAACGTACTGCTTTGACAACTTAACAGCAGCTAGTACTAACAGTATCTAAAGTAACAGTTCATGTAAATAAACGCTGATCTGTCAGAACAAGAGCTAGATTCAGATAGGATATGCCTCATAATGACCCTGTTGGTCCCTGCTGGCCTGCCGGGTGGATGTGCACTTAAAAATTGTAGCATATAGCCACAGACTGAATAGGTGTATTCATTATCGTATTTCTTCACACGAAATAGTTCAAACAGGGTGGTACTCTCGGCGATATAGTATATAGTAGTAAGTATAGTATAGTTAGTGAATGAGTATAACGAATCACAATAATGGTGTGGTGCGGTATGGTGCGGTGTAATACAGTATTACATTGGTATTGGTATGGTATTGGTGTGTTGTGTTGTGAGTTGTGTTGTGTGTAAGCCGTTGTGTGGTGTGTGTGGTGTGGTGCGGTGGTGGTGTGTGTGGTGTGGTGGTGTGGTGTGGTGTTGTGTTGTGTTGTGTGTGGTATGGTGTGGTATGGCATGGTATGGTATGGCATTGGTATTGGTATGGGTATGGTATTATATTGTGTGTTGTGTTGTGAGCTTAGCAGTGTTGTGCGTTGTGTTGTGTTGTGCTAAAGGTGGTGGGGTGGTGTGGTGGGTGTGGTGTGGTGGTGGTGGTGCGGGTGTGGTACAGAGTATAGTGCCTGCACATAGCTTCTGGCATTGTAGTATAGCATTGTATTCGATCAACTCTCTACTGCATACATACTGCATTAGTATTCCTCAGTTGCTAAGTCACTTTCTAGCGTCGTCATACAGCTATTCACATTTTTACAGAAAACATTACTCTCCCGACAGCTAAATATTTTAACTCATGGTTTCACCGTCAAAGGACTGGGGTTCTGCATCATCTGAGAATCCTTTATGGTAGTAATTTGTTATCTCCAGAACTATCTCAGCATTTGTAATTATTCTGTAAACCATTTAGCATTTGTATTTTCTGTAAACTATTCAATATTTTGTATTACTTGTAAACGTAGCTCATCCCTTATTTGTATACCACTCAAAAATCTATATTGTTTTGTATAACATTAAATAGCTGTATACCGATTTAGTGTCTGTATTACGTGCATACCGCTTCACTGCTTCTCATTATCATTAAACCATTCGTAAATGTAATTGTATTATTTGAAGTATCATTCAACATTTGTATTATTTCGTATGTAATTCAACATCATATCAGCTGTATTTGTACATTATCCAACATTTGTATCATTTGCATATCATTCAACATTTGCATTTATTTGTATATCATTCAACAGTTGTATTATGTTGTATATAATCCAAATATCGGCTATTATTTGTATATCATCTCAACATTTCGTATCACGATGCATTTGTATATCATCTCAACAGTTGTACATTTGTATATCATTCAACATTTGATATCTCTTTGCATTGATCATCTCAGACATACTGTATTATTTTGTCCGATCATTCAACAGTTGTATTATTTTGTATACATGCATCCACCTCGTTGCATTATTTGTATATAGGAAAAGATGAGCTTACTCTGCCCCGCCCGTGGTTCCGGTCACAAACAAAGTGGATTGCGGAATCATATTATTGGAAAGGTAATACATATGAGTGAGTGAGTGAGTTTGGTTTTACGCCGCGTTGAGCAATATTCCAGCAATACCACGGCGGGGAAGACCAGAAATGGGCTTCACACGTAGTACATGTGGGGAATCGAACCCGGGTCTTCGGTGTGACGAGCGAACGCTTTAACCACTAGGCTACCCCAGTGCCCCTAATGCATTTGAAGTTCCTTGACCCCATGACTCGTCACTGAAGACAATTCTGTTCCACAGCCACTGGTTGAATCTGGCATATCTGTTGACCCATCGTAAAATTTGAGCACGTTGAATTTGTGTCAGAATAGGTCCTGTGTACGGCTGTGTGGGTCGGATACCTACGGTGCACACTCGATTGCTGAACAACTGTCCGCTAATGGAGGTTGCAGTCACAGTTCTGTTGCGGAGATGACATGTCCAGAGCTGTACGTCATCTTACAACGGATTGTCCACGCTCGAGTTTTTGCTTAAACTTGACTTGCCTAAATGCCTTACCTTCAAACTTTACGTTTTACAATGAAGTTTAGCTTCGAGGCCATATTGTTTGATGTCGTTTTGGTAAAATCGAATGACATTCGCCTTCATAATTCTACAAATGGTAGTGAAAATCTGCGAAT